TTGTTTGTAATGTCATATATTGTAAGAATTAAATGCTTGAAAGTAAATGGTCAAAAAATGTCTTGATAACAAATTGTGACATTTTCCCCAAGAAGAGGAAAAAAGCAAAAAGAAAATGAAGCTGTCCTGGTATCATTGCTATGCTGATATACATTAATCCGAGCACTGAAAAACGTCTTCACTAATGACAACACACAGTGCAATTGTGTCCTGTTACCTTTAATGGCTTGCTATAAACTATAAAAATATCCTACATTTTATGAAAATGTAGAATGGTTTAATACTACATTCTGAGGTGGTGTTAATTAAGTCAGAAATGATTCTCTTTAATCTGCTAAGTGGCTCCAATTTGCATAAGAGTTTTACCTATTTTATATGCAGTTCCAATTATCCCAAAATTATCTTTATAGACCCTATTTTTTTCAGCTGGGTTATCTCTAAATCCAGCCTGATCATATCTCTTATAGATACATCTGTAGCTACACAGCCACCTGCTCCTCTGCATGCTCATGTTCCAGCTCTCAAGTAGGTGACTGTAAAGGATGAAACCAGAGGCTCATGAGTGCATACTTCAGATAGCCATTTACAAGGGAGCTGTAGCATTCTAGAATTTTTATTTTTACAAAAGACAGTTCCAGTCCAATTCATTGGATGAGATAGTTTGTTTCTTTTTTTTTGTCTTCACTGGGTTGTATTGGCCTGTGTTCTGTACAGGAATGTGGGGAGAACAAACATCAGTTTGAATTGACAGCATTGTGAATTTATGACATCAGATAGCAAACACAGAACAGAGATACTGTAATGAATGAGTTTGAAGGCAGAATTTCCTGAAGTTGGTAAGAAGCTTGGATTTTTTTATTTTTTTTTTTTGCTCTTGAGGTGCAAAGTGTTTTAGGATGGAAACCTGTCAATAAGCTAATGATCAATTCTAAAACGTAAAGAGGTTGCACTGCAATGTAGTTCTAAGAAAACAGGAAACAAAATAATAGGAATCCTGAGAATATAGGAGGATCTTATTCTGGGATGAACAGCTGTTTTTCATAGAATCACTGAAGTTGGAAAAGACTGCGAAAGATTCCCATGTCCAACTCCCACCCACCCCTTCCATGCCCACTAATCATGTCCCTCAGTGTCACATCTTCATGGTTTTTGAATGCTTCCAGGGACAGCAGCTCTATTACCTCCCTGGGCAGCCTGTGCCACTAATACTACTTTTACTTCAGTAGGCAGGACTAAGTCTTCCTAGCTGTGCTGCATGTGTGTATGGGTAGGGTATGGGCAGGGCCTTGCGCAGAATATTTCTAAAAGTCTGTAAGCTGAAAGCTGGTTGAGAAAACAGCAGGCTTTGTAGAAGTTCACATCCAGCAGTGGTAATGTGCAGTAGAGATGGAACTGCATGTACCCAGTCTAGGAGGTGGTAGAAGTTGAAAGAAAGGCGTGGGAATTAGTACTTGCAATGTGCAAGCATATTGTGTGAAGCAATGTTTTCTCTGCTGTCTCACCTGTTATTGCTATACTCCTGTATGATTTTTGTGCATTTCTAGTCATAATGCTTGTGTTTGACAAGTATATGCAAAATGTACATTTTTGCTACTTCCTAGGACTTGCAAGCTGGATCATACATGCGTTAGCCTAGCTAACAAACAGATTCTTTGTTAGTACAGTCTCATAGTATTACTGTTTAAGATGCTTTAATGTAATTTTTCAAAAAAACCCATTATATTTATATGCACTATTCTTTGTGGGTGCAAAGAAATGTGTAGTGTCAGTAAAAAAGAGTGCCCCTGAGTATGTTCTGAGCGTATTCCCTTTGCTCATTCAGAAGCCATTAATAATAGAAATGTCAGTAGAAGAACAAGAACGTTTGTTATAAATCCAAACCCCTCAAAGCTATCTTTACTGCAAATTACTTGTACTCAAATGGGAGGAAAAAAAAAAAAGCTTTGGAAAAAATGATGTTACAAGATACGTTTTTTTTTTTTTATGGTAAAAGCCATATCAGCCATTGTAGTTAGTAGATAAATGTGGAAGAATGCACGAGGGAATGCAATCAATTTTTTCCATATGCTTACCCAATTTTCTCCTATATTAATATATTATGTCATATGTAAAGAAAACTATAGGATGAAAAGACCTAAAATAGCTGAGCTTTAATGACCTCAGCTAGCCGGTATAACCAGAATGCAGAGATCTAGAAAGAAAATTCAATGTAATTTTACACAAGTGCTTTTAAGAAATAACTGAAGCCATGAACTTACACCTACAGCTCTTTGTTTGATTTTAATTAATGCTTTGAAAAGAAAAATCTCATTAATAGTTGAAATGAAGAGGAGGGGGAAAGCAGTTAATGCTGACATTTCAATAAATAATGAATTTTACAAGTGAAGAATAAAGGAGTTTTAAAAGCTGGAGTCTAGACTCAAAGTAATGTTTAGAAAAAGAAAACACAATATTTTGAAAATTGGATTGGAGAAGGGGAATCACACCAGCCATTTTTTGTCTTTCCTTCTATAAATAGAATGATCCCTCCCACCCCATGAGACCCTGCTATACTGCTTTCCCTGCCTATGCATACAGATTTGCTGCTTCTACTGAGATACAACACTTCCACATAAGTAGACTGAATAATACAAGCGCATATAGGAACCACCTGATGTCTGCCATAAATCAGTGGTCCTTATGTGTGTGGAGTCCAACGTTTCCAATTAAATTAAAAATGGCATAGAATAATAACTTCAGTGGTAATAAATAATGGAATGTATTGGGATACTGTATTAAGTTTTAACTATTACATCACTGATGAAAAAGAGCATTAAAACTATTAAAACTTTCCAGGATAATGAAGTCAGAGTTAACTGAACTGAAAGTACACAAGTGCTGTGCAACTTCCAGGCAAAAAATCAATTGCTGGAAGAAAAGAAAGAAATTTCACTTCTGAAGAATCACAGAAACACCAAGGTTGGAAAAGACCTGCAATATCATCCAGTCCAACCATCCACCTATCACCAATAGTTCTCATTAAACCTTATCCCTCAATACAAAATTCAAATTTTCCTTGAACACCTGCAGGCTTGGTGACTCCACCACCTCCCTGGGCAGTCCATTCCAGTGCCTGACTACTCTTTCAGAGAAGTAGTATTTCCTAATGTCCAGCCTAAATCTCCCCTGGTGCAGCTGGAAGCCATTCCCTCTAGTCTTAAAGAAAGTGAGATTTACCCTGAAGTGTATCTGCTTGGAGATCCCCCCCCGGCATCCTTGGGATCATGTCTCCCATAAATTCCTGAGGGTCTAAAGCTATGCAGGAGGACACTGACTGTATGAGGACTATGTAGGAATGAAGGCGGGGTAGCTCAGGCTTGAGTGCTGGAAGTTACTACTGACAGAGTAATATTCCATTTCAAATGTCACCATCCACAGAACCTTTTGCCCTGGAGGCCATGTGTTCCACTAGAGCCTATTCCAACCCAAGACCTGATGTCAGGAAAAGGGCTGAAAGGGAGAAGTTCATTATCTTTCTAATGAACTCTTCAAATATCCTTTGCTTACAAACGACTGATTTGATAAGTTCCTCACAAAGAAAATTAAAAATAGTTCATGGTCTTTCTTAGCAGCTGACCAGTTCTGTCTCTGAATCGTGCTTGAGTGCTGTTAAACTTGTTTTTTTTTATGGAGTTCAATGCTGACTTGAAAGAATTGTTGTCATGAGGAAAATGGAAAAGCAGTGCCAGATGTCATGTAGTATTGACAAAAAACCCCTTGTCTTGGCTCACCGCACATGTCCTATGTTCTTCCCTGGTTGTTTGTTTTTGTGACATTATTCTAACTCAGTGTAAGCTTCAAATTATCCTTCTTTAATTTTATTTTTGCCTGGTTGTACCAGTTCTGTATTTATGAAGAGGCACTTCATTTAATAGCACAAGGTATCTTTATGTCCTTCTACCTTAAATGCCTTTTTATGTGAATCTATGAATGAGAGCTACTATTCTTTCACTGCCGTTTGTTATTGAGATTGCTTTCTCTTTTTACTTGAAACTTTTCTTGGGAAGCTATTTACCTTTCACTCTCTGGTTGTTCTGATTTGGATCACTTCTTCTCTTGGCTGAGCTTTCTCTTCACCTTTTATTATCATTAGGTGCTCTAGATGCTTTTCCCATTTGTAGCCTATCACTTAATTGTATTTTCTTTCAGCTTCATGTTCACGCTGAGCAATGCATTTAGTCGTTACCTCTACAAAACAGAGAAATATAAAAGCATTAAAAAAAGATCATGCATCCTGTTCTTTTTTTTCTATTTAAATGCGGAAATGAAATCCTCAGCTCCACTGGCTCTATCTCTGATTTCTTCTTCCTTATCAAAGTGCACTGGCAAGTAATACCTTATATGACAGTCAGCCTCTGGAGACCAAGAGCACAATGCAAGCCATGTTTCATATATTAGTACCAGTCCTCTTAATCCCTTGCTTATATCAACCTTTTAAAGAAAATTAATTTCACATGATTATGCTAATATTTTCTTAATGAATTAGGAAAGAAACCTGTGTGGAACTTTAATGAATCATTTTAACTATCCCTGCTGAGAGATTTCAGGATCATTCTTTTTTGCAAAAGTATATGAATATTAATATGCACCCTGGTAATTGGAACAAAGTTAATTACTGTAATTCTCCTATAGTTAAAAAAAAATACAATATGCAGTAATAGCTAGTTATTAAGATAGGAATTTGAAGGTAAAATACTATTAATTGCTTCATAAGAAGTGAGGTAAAGCGCATCTAGGAAACAATTTTAATGGAATAACCAGGTGTTTTAATGAAATATAATTTGGCTAATAATTTTCATGCTCTGAAATTTGTCATTTCCTCATGCTTCTGATATTTGCAGTATTGTGTTATGTATTTTGGAGTTTGATACTATAATATATTAAATGTATTATTATAGGTAGTAGTTTATTATATGTTAATATCTCTCCTCATCTCCCTGTTTGATAGGGTTTCTCGATAGATGGAGGCTTTCATCACCGTCTGTCTCCTCCTGACTGCACCACTGAACTCCAGGCCATCTTTGGCACAGCAGGAAGAGTTGTAAAGTCAGGTAAGTTCCCCCAAGTTTTGTAAACTCGTTGACGTTTTAAAATGAGTGCTCCTTGGACAGTGATGCTGTTGTCAGGGTCCAATTGTGCAGTAGTGGCTCTCACTCTCCAGCCTGGTTTGTGTTTGCTCTATTGGAAAATGGGGCCTCTTGGTGGGATGAGAGGAGGAGTGCTGAGGGACGCATGGGCTGGGGAAGGGGAAACGCAGTACTGCTACTATGGCTGTGGATGTGTGGTTTGATGTTGCAGGGTAACGTTGCAGTGAGGAATGCAAACGTATGAGAAACTGGATTTTCATTATTTCTGCTGGTATTGAAGTTATCATTCGTGATGAGAAGATGTCCTTCTATGAAGGAACCTCATAGTATTGTTTATGAAATCTAATTCTCTACCTTCGTAGTTCCTGTATAATTTGTGAAAATTATTCATGACTAGCTTTTACTTTTATGGGCTCCCCAGACTACCTGCAATCATGTGCAAGAAATGCTTCCAGACGTATCAGTGCCTTTAAAAGCATTTATATGGATGGTAAAATGATTTTTCTCATCTACTATGTGACCTCTGAAGTGCAAAATTTATCAGTGGGCCTATTCTGAGTCAGACTTAATTTGCTTCCCCTTTTCCATACCTATTCTAGCTCCTTCAGATAAATTTTCAAAAATAGCCTGGTATATGTTAAAGTCTGATCTAATGGATCAGGTTCCTGCTGGTTCAGACTCTCTGTATAACTTAGAAGCAGAAGAAAATATCTGTATCATTATATTTTGAGAGTCATTGCATATTCCTCCAAAATACTCTGTCAGTGGTGTTTGATGTTGGAAGGATGTTGGTAAATGTTTGTACTGCTGTGGATGCTGAGGTGTAAGCTGATCCTGTGGGATAGAGGAATAAGGCTGTTGCAAAGCGGGTAGTGACTTGAATGGAGTTTTAACATGTTTAGGAAATGTATAAATGAATCAATTCCAGAAATGGATTGATCAACCTAATTAAAATATCAAAAGTTTAACAGAATTAGGTTATATTCTACGTGACATAACACCCACTTGCCTGTAACGTAATCTAAGTGTTGATTTTGGTATGATGAGTTTGTCTTTGAAGAAATCTGGATAAGTTTGGGAGATGAAAAAAAGTCTTGATTTCACTGCACCATGTGCCTCTTCATGTGTGTGAGGAGTGGGATGTTTTCTGTGGGAGGCAATAATTTTTTGTGCAATCATGGGCTATAAGAGATATATTCTACTCAGATGTACAATCTCCTCTCCATTTTGGCTGGAATAGCTGCTTGAGTTCTCAGTTTTAGTTGCTACCCTTACTCAAGTCTGAAGAAGGCACTCTGGAAAGCTAAACTTCATGAACAGCTAATTGCTGAAGATAACAGGATTTTCTACAACATTGAAATCTGTTGAAGTGAGATACATGAAATATGATTTCCTGATTTAGCAAATGTTAGACAGAATTGAGATGTTGAGAAAAATCAAATTGACTTCACCATGAGACTTGAAACATTAAAACATTTTGAGGATTCTAAAAAGAGATGAGGTGTCCTTTTTTAGACTACCAGTTAATCATCCAAGAGGAAGGAAAGTAATTTAATGTTGCAAATTACATATGTATCACATACTTGGGTATTGAAAACAAAGGTTAGAACTAGCACAAGACAGAAATAGCAAGTAGTCATTTTAATTTCAAGGTGTCTTTGTCATAGCTCCTATTCAGTAATTTTTGGGAGCTAATTTCTGTGATAGTTGACATGGAAATTTTGCAATGTGTGGATTAACTGAAATGCAGTATTAAGCTCAAATACTGCAGCATGATCTGAAATGGTTTAAAAAGAAACCCAAAAAACAACAACAACAAAAAACCACAGAAAACCTTCAGTTCTGAACTGTGGATTTTAGTTTGGGTATTCAAGTACATAATTTAGAACTTGCATATCTAGCCATTAAAATAAATAGCTTTTAAGTTAGATGATGTTGAGTCTAACAGCAGAAGCAGTATGATGTAACTCCTAAAGCTTACCAGCAGAGCAAGAATGTACAACTTTGAAATATTCTCAAGTAACTTTGCAATCCATTTAATTACTCATGTGAAAAATTGTCAATACATGGACTAATAAATCCACTGGAGATTTCTGTAATTTGTTCACAGGTAATTAGCAGACAGAAAGAGTTGAAATCCCTTTGGTGCGGTTTTCATTAGAAATGACTCATCCAGTCATCCAGTGGGGACAAATAAATAATACAAACAACACCGAAATGTTCTGAGATACATGCAAGGAATGAGGTAAAGATTCAGTGAGTGGAAACGTGTTCTGAAACCTGGTACAAGGTGAACAGCAACAGAAGTGAGACCACAGAGCCCATGCTTGACTTCCAGCCAACATCAATTTTGCAGCTGGGCCAAGTCTTCACTGACGTTGCAATATGCTTATCACTTAATCATGGCTACTGACAAAGAAACTGGGTGTTTTCACCCCTTTTAAATGAATTTCAAAATAATCTTGGAGATGAACGCTGTTGGTACATGCTCAAGAGTTACTCAGGTTTTGCTGCAACAGCTGCTGAGCAAAGCCCTGTGTGTTCAAGCAGTGACCTTACTGAAGTGGCTTCTAGTTGAGTCATGTCTGCAACTCTGTTTGTTCCCTTGAATGGAAGAAGTCAATGATAATATGTTTTAGGATGTATGCTCTGTAGGCACAGAATAGCACCTCATAAAAAACTGTTTGAATTTTTGCTCTGGGAATTATATTGAAGAAAACAGAAACTGTCTTTTTCCTGGCAAGATGATTTCACAGAATTTTGAGTGCATTTGCCCACTGGGACTAGGATTTCTGATGATGATGATGTGATTTCAAATGCATCGAGCAAGTGCTATGTTGGGTGCTTAATTCATAGTGCATACCAATGTTTAAATGAGTTCCTTTGGGATGCCCAACTCTGTAGGACAATATGTAAGAGCTTACAGCTTTTTTCATCAGCTATTGTTTGTTTATTTGATAAATTCTACATAGACAGTGTAACCACAGGAGAATATCTTTATTAAAACAAGCTGCTAGGTAAATAAGGCTTCCAGTTAAAATAAAAACCATGTTCATTATTAAACACATTGGGAAGGCTGAAGGATACAAATTTTGCAGCTGTCTGTAAATGTGTTCTGTATAGTTCTAATTTAATTTAGCACCAGAAATTCCCTTGCATAAGCAGATAAACTATGCAGTTTGACAATAATGGAGCGAACTTTTCAGATTCAGATCCCAAATTTGAATTTTGCTTTTAAAACTAGTTTCTGAGATGGGTCATATGGCTAAAACTTGGGAATGTGCACTGTGTCCACATGGTATGGGAGTGATGTCCAGTTGGATGATGCTAGTGAGTGGGGAAAGGATGAATGTGGGAAGAGCATGCTTTTTGTAGGGACTACTTAGGAAAATACTATGTTCTCTTCCTCGACCCAGGACATCTGCTGTGTGTGTGTATCTTAGATGTGTTGGTTGATTCATACCTTTCTTGTGGATCATGAAGTGGGGAGGATGTGTGTCCATTCCCCTCTATGTAATCCTTGCATTAAAAGTTCAAAATACTTTAGCTTAGTTTGCTTAAATACCAAAGCAGCGCAAAACTTCTATTGTTATGGACAGATGTGTATCCCAGTACAGTGTTACATTCTCTCACCAGTTACTGAGGGTCAGAAAGGAAGAACTGTTATCTATTCCATTTCACCTCATGTCTGTTACTTACAGCGTGTCACGTAGGAGTCAACTAGTTTTCTGGAGTGGTAATCCTTCACTCTGGAGAAGATAATGTGTGCAAACAAGAATTCAACATTTTTCAGGGCTGTAGCTTTCAATAACTGACTCCCCCTCAACCCTCCCCCAATTACTCATACCAAGCATTGTATTCTGTGATTGTTTGTCCCCCTGTGAATTCAAACATTGATGCCAGGGTGAAGCATTCTACTTTTCCTTTGTATCAGAAGGAGGCAATACAGTGTTGAGTAATAAAAGGTTGTTTCATTTTAATATCAGTCCTCAAGCATAATTGTTAGTAACTTGCCTGGATTTTAGACTAGAAAGCATAAAAAGCATTTGCCAGGCATCTAAAATTGAAGTCCCTTGATAGAAAGAACGTCTCCTGCATGTTGTAGGCTAAATTCTGAAGGAGAAGCTTGTTCTGTTCTCTAGCCTTGTACTATGTCAGTGCTTCTAATCAGCAGGTTGCTCCTGAAAACGCTGCTATGAATTAATCCCAGACACTCCACTCTGTGGTAATCAATAACTGTAAAACAATTAATGATGTCTTTAACATATACTTCCACCTCTATTGCTCATACTACCCTCAAGCAGGCTATAAAACAGGCTTTTTAACATTTCAGTGATGCTATGAACCATCCCATATTGGCTTCACTAATTACATGAAACTTTTTCCCACCAGTTACTTCATGATATTTCTTTCTTAGTTTTGCAGTTTTACTGTCATTGACACAGTGGTAATTGAAGTTTTTGTCTTTCCTATCTACTTTACTTAGCTGAACTCACTCATGACATCTTGGACTTCACTGACTTCATTTGTCGTCTTATTGCTGCAATTTGTACTGCTAGATTAAAATCTCCCTTGTTGCTCCAGAAAGTCCACAGTGCAGATTATCCTCTCTTCTGGTTGGCAATATTTCCTGGGGCTTTTTCTTCATCTAAAAATTGGATTGGTATTGCGTAGCCAGACATTCTAGCTTTTAATCTCAGAAATTACACATGAGGATAAGGCGTATTTCCAGCACTGCTGCCTTTTGCTAAGAAGAGATGTTGAGGAAAATAATTGCAAACGTGCTGTGCTGCTAATTCTTCTGCTAGTTGAACACTTTTTACTTATAGCTATGAGCTTTATTAATGACCTGATTCTTTAGAGACTTGCTTGGGTAATGTCCTGCAGGCTTTCTCCTGTCCACTGTTGCCAATTAAGGTTTGAAAAATGACTTCATCTTCCCACTTCAGTGCAACTACATGCTGTTTATAGAGAAAGTGAAAGCTTCTGGTCCAGTTTCTGCTCTTTCCAGGTCTGCTTTTAGTTTGTGCACCTAGCAGCTGGCATTTCAAGAACACCCCAGAATCAATTCAATTCTGGTTTGGGGCAGACAGAGAAAAAGGCGAATAATGCTAGTTCACAGTGTCCAGTGTGGACTGATTGTGTTCCTTGCACAGTATTACAGCTCCTCTGGCAATACTAGCCCACATGTTTTATCTTGCAGGCTAATATAAACTGCCCCTAAGTGCTGCTCAAGTTCATTCAAGCTAATAAATATACAGGGCTTTGTACAAATATTAGCCTATATTGTGTACACAAGTAATAATTTAAAATGAGTATTTTCCCTGTGAGTGCACTCTGTCATGGGTCAGCAAGCCAGATTTCCCTTCATAGTTGTAATTTTAGTTACTGACTCTTTATTAAAGATTAACAGAATTTTTGATGGCACAAGTTATTTTCATAAATAAGCAGTAATGGAGAGGCATTGAAAATGCAAGATAAAGAACACAGTGCTTTAAAAACAGTATAAGCTATGAGCAGCACTAAATAAATAGTATGATGTTATGAAGGTTCAATTTAGAATATAAATATCATGCCCTTTACACGCATGGCATACAGGTTCTTCTGAATGTTCTACTGGATGTATAGAAGTATGCCAAGTCTTTTGGGAAAGCTGATGTTGATCAACTCATAGTCTGATTACCTGTAGGCTTTGAGTGACATGATTAAAAAAATATATTCTAGTTTACATTGAAAATGATCTTACTGAGCCATGTCATTAATTGCTTTTTTTAGTGATTTGAGTTATCTGTCCTCATCCAGAAGTGGTCTTCTGAGGCAAACCTAGATCTGCTGAACTGGGTGCCCACTGGTCACAACCACCTGATATTTCTTCAATCGTAAACCAAGAGGACAAAGAGGGACAGAAATGACCTCGCCATGTCCTGATAAATCTTTACTTGCTCAAGAATGATAGCTAATCACTCAATGTGAAGATTTATTTTGCTGCATGCTGAGATTAGCAATGAGATTTTTCATCATTTGCTGGATGTTTGGTATACTGCAGTAAAATAGGTTTTCCTTTTCTTTTCCATTAACCTATAGTGCTTGCAGTTGCAGAGCTTGGCTACTTTCTCTATGTCAAGCTGATAAGGAAATTCAGCTTGTCTTGAATAGTTGAAACAGGGTAGTTCAGCTTTCTAGAAACCACCTATTAATAAAAGTTGGGAAGTGAGAATTTCAACACTGATTTTTTTCAGTAATGAGAAATTCTATAAGGAGATGTGGTTTTATTATAAAAATGAAGTTTTAATCTTCTCATATTTTATGTACCTCAGATTTTCTGTTTCTTTCAAAATAAAATATGTATTTTATTTTGGTTTATTGTGAAGTAGGATATTATTTTTGAGTGTAAGGGTAATGAAAAGGAAAAGGCAATGAAAAGAAAATTGTTTGAAACAGATCTGCTGTCCATACAGATTTACTGAAAATAGGTTTTGGGAAATGAAAGAATTCTTGGACGGGGAAGGGAAAGCATAAAACAAATATGAAGCAAATACACATATAAAACAGCTATTGAGGAGGGGAAAAAAAACCTAACAACCTGAAGGTTAAATATTAAGGAACAAAGACTTCTAGTAAATGTAAGAGGAATTTTGCTCTCACAACCTGGCTAATTGAACTATCAAGAGGAAGCCTACTCGAGTGTGTAATTGTTTGTAGGAATAGCTCCCAATCTATAGCATGCTGCATTTTGTCAACATATTGTAGAAACGCAAAGTGATATAAACACACATTAATCTTGTAATTAAAATTGCAGCAGGCATAATGTGCTTTCATTAGAAAGAACATTAGCTGGTTTCAGCAATGATTTCATAGAACATTCGTGTTCTCTTAATTTAGTTAACAAATGACTTCAAGTCTTGTTTAAAAAAAAAAAAAAAAAGAAACAGTCTTTAACATTGTACCTAATTTAGAAGACTGTGGCATCTATTTGTTACAGTAATTAATATTTAATGTTATTTGACCTCTGATTAGCCTGTTCCTTATTTTAATCAAGACCTATCAAACTTTCAAACTTCTATCAATCAAATGATCAAGTAACTGATTACAGATTATGCAATTCACCTTTGAAATTTGCCTGATAAATATGGGCTGAATTTAGAGTATTTGTAATTTAGAGATGAGTCTTATCATCACCATCTGAAGTGTTGGAATGGACTTCTAGAGAGAGAGTCCAACCTAGCTGCTAAATCAGGTTCCTTTCAGTGGATTGCACAAGTAGGTGTCCAGGTGCGTCTTTAATATCTCCAGAGTAGACCGCACAACCTCTCTAGGCAGCTTGTTACAGTATTCCATCACTCTAACACTAAAATTCTTTCTTTGTTCAGGTGGAACTTAATGTTTTCCAGTTTTTGCCCATTGCCTCTTGTTGCTGCATGCCATTGAAAAGAGCCTGGTGCCCTCCGCTTGGCTCCTGCCGTGGATATTTATAAACAGTGATGAGATCCCTTCTCAGTCTTACCTTTTTCAGACATTAAGTGTCCCAGCTCTGAGCCCTTCCTCCAGGCTCCTAATCATCTTCGTAGCCCTCTAATGGTCTTAGAAAGTTCAATGCCTTTTTTGAACTGGGGAGCCCAGGACTGGACAAAGCACTCCAGGTATGACTTCAGCAGGGCAGAGTAGAGAGAGGAGGATAACCTCTTTTGACCATAAAGAATGCCATGCTTGTCTTAATGCACCCCAGGATACTTTTGGCTACCTTCTTGGGCACGAGGGCACACTGTTGGTTCAGAGCCAACCAGATCCTTCTCTGCAGAGCTCCTCTTAAGCAGGTCAGCCCTTAACCAGTACTGCTGCAGGTGGCTATTACTTCCCAAACATAAGATTCTGCACTTGTTCTTGATGAATCTCAACAGGTTCCTCTTTGCCCAACTCTCTAGCCTGACCAAGTCTTGTTGAATGGTAGCACAGCCTTCTGGTGTGTTAGCTGCTCCTCTCAGCTTCATATCATCAGTGAATTTGCTGAGGATACATTAAATGTACTTCACCTTCAAACCCTTCATCCAGATCATTTAACAACACAGGAAATCAGTACCAGTTCCTTGGGAACGCCGCTATCTAAAGGCCTCCAACTAACTCTGTGCTTCTGATCATGGCCCTCTGAGCTCTGCCAGTCAGCAGTTCTTAATCTACCTTGCAACCTACTTATTGATCCCACACCTCCTAAGTTTACTTCTGAGGATGCTATCAGAGACAGTGTCAAAAGCCTTACTGAAGTCAAGGTAGACAATATGTTTGTAATCAGGTGATAGAGTTATGAGGAAAATGAGTATTATAAAAAAAAAACAAACTATAATATCTGTATATACTGATTTATTGGTGGTTCTTACAGAAAAATAGGAGGTCTGTTCTTGGGGATAAGCATGGGATTCTTGAGGCTATGGCTTGCTTGCTGCTACTGCTTGTCTGCTGCCCTACCTAGGAGGCAGCCTGCTCTGCACTGGATCCACTGTACAACCATAACTTATTCTGTAGTTTATGAATGGGTCTTCTATTTCACTTCTTCCAGGATAACTTTAGAATTTCACATGGAAGTCCTCAGTGTAAACTTTTCTGTCTACAGAAACTTGGTTTGTAATTGTCTGTTTATGCTGTAAAGGCTCCTAGAAAGTACTGCAATTTCACATAGGACTAATTCAGGACTAACATTTTAGCTGCAGTATTTGGAAAATACACTTTAATCAGTTTCCAGCAGAGAATTGCCAAGAACACATAGGGCTGAAATGCTTGGAAAGTATCACTAGGCACTAGAAGATAGAGCCAAAAAGGATGAAAAATGGAAGAGCTGGTCAGGTGTTAGCAAGAGAGCAGAGAATAGGAAGTGGAGGGACCCTAAAATTAGAATTTTCCACTTGCTATCAAACTTTAATTACCATAGCAGTACTGATTAATGAGTTACAAGATATGGGTGTGGCTGATGCAAATTGAAACTGTGTTTGTGTAAATATTTTTTTGTTTTCTGAAGAGGTGCTAAATAGTGTGGAGTCAATATGAACAATCATAAACAAGCACATCAAAGTGTACAAAACTACATCATGTTTTATGAAGTCAATAAAAAAGGGGCTTTGAAAGTGGGTTGTGACAGCTATTTTCTACAAAGGGTACTTTGCTAATTTGTGTGCTGTTGGAATTGGAGGTTATATTCTATTCTGTAATACTACTGTAACTTGTTAATGGCACAGTGGGTTCACGGGGGACCCACAACCTTGAGCATGCCTTCATGGACAAATTGAGAATAAAAAAGTTACAATGGTATTTTCTGTCTGCCTTTTCCAGGTCACTTGACAGCACTTAAAGAGTCAGAATGACTAATAAAATCAAAGTACTTTTGCAGTTTTGCAAGGGGCTTTACTTAGCACTTGACTGTTTTTCATCTGAAATAGTGCAAGTTGTCTCTCTGAAATGACAGTTAAATATAAAGCTGTAGAACACCTTGTTCAATCCAACTTTTGCCCTGCTTTACTGCACCCAGATACACTCATTGTAATGTACTTTGGTTTTTTTACTTCATCACTGGTTGCTTTCTGTTTAAATTTTTTTTTTTACTTTTATAAACACTGTTTTTATTAGATGCTAAAAGCTTTTTTTTTTTTTTTTTTTTTTTTTTAATTTAGGAATTGCATTAGGAATGCTGGGTCATAATCTACATGCTTAAATTCAGGATGCAAGTATTCCTGGGCAGGGACATCCTCTGGGAACAAGGTTGGAAGCATGGTATTGCATGGTTCCACTTGTTGGATTCAGAGTCTCTCAGTGCTTTATGGACTTAGTCAAAAAATACCACTTGCTTAGTTGAGGCATCAAGTTTTTGTAACACTACTACTCAAAAGAAATTATATGCAGAGCAGAATGAGATCATTAACTGAACCATAAATATGCTTTTCTGCCTCCTCCTTTTTTTTTTTTTTTTTTTTTTCAGTGGTTATTTCTTTATTGAAATAGTTGGCAGTTAGTGTAATTCCGAATATGAAATTGTGAATTATTTGATTAGGTGTAACAAAATTATGCAAGAATGATTGTTCATTAGTAAACAGCTTCAAAATTGGTGAAAAGAACTAAAGAACTGATTACCACAGTCTTGTTTTCTATTTCCATCCTTCATGTCATCTCTCTCATAAACCTCTTCTGTAAGAACTCCAAGCAAGATATCTCTTCCTTCTGTGTTTGAGGAGTACTTGACCTATTAGAGTCCCTAGTATGGGATCTTCTGTGCTACCAAAATGGAAAGAATAATTGGATTTTGTTTTCACTCTGCTAAAAAACAAATAGTGATGAGTATGGATATTCCCTTGTAAAAGCACAACTGGCTTTTCTTCCACTGAAAGTTCATTTTGAGCAATCTTTTGTTGTGAGCTTATAGTAAGTTTTGACTTTGCTCTTTCTACACTGTGTATTAGCCAGTTCATGACAAAAGAACCTAAAGTTCTCCATTGGCTATTTTTTCTGGAGTATTACATTAGCAGTGCTGATGGACACATCTCACTTTGTGTCTTCACAACTAGGCTTCAGAACTGGTTCCTAAAAGTACAGCTTTTGTGGTGAGCTCTCTAAAAACAAACTTCTATACCAAGGCAAATACAGTTATCTCAGGGAACTATAGGAGGATCCCTTGTGTGACACTGTCAGGATACCACAAGTTGACCTGGTAAGGAGTGGGAACTCAGGCTGAGAAGAAGTAAAGGTGGCAGGTACAAAAATCAATAAATTTTGGCAGTGAAATTGTCACCGATTCAGAATCATTAATAGAAAGTATTTTTTACAAAATTCACAATTAAACAGTTAAGCTTAGCACCACAAAGTATTCTAAAAGTAAAAATTATAGTAATATTTAAATGAAGGTCTGTAGAAAATCATAAGTCTATTAACAGTTACTTTAAATGATGAATCTTATTTACATTACTAAGCCAGCAAATCTGTTAACTGGTTTTCTTGGCAGAGGATGCAAGAGGGATGCTGACTTCATCCATGCTCTGTTGCTTATGCTCTGCACCTTTATAGTCTA